GGGGGGGGGGGGGGGGGGGGGGGGGGGGTGGTGCAAAACTAAGGAATAGCGTACCTGATTGGTGACGTAAACAAATTTAAAAGCGAATACGAAGAAGGCTTTTGGTTGGCAATAACATTATGTGAACTGCTGAGAATACATATCATACATATCTGCACATTTTGCAGAAAATCAGTTGTATTAGAAAGCCGCAGGTCATCTTAGGGAGAGGGGGGTCCCCACCCCCTGCACCCCCTCCCCGAATCCGCCCCTGAGTTGGACCCTCTTTTTTCTTACTCCCTTTATTTGACTCTCTATAAGACGGACATCTCTCTAAGATGGACACTGTAGAGAGAACTGACATATATGGTTAGATTTGACCGTGGTTACCGTGGTCAAGTACGCAGCTGAATCAACCATCTTACACATAGACTGTTGGAAGGCAGCAATGCAAAACCCTGAAAATACAGATGAAACCCGTTAATTCTACTGTAGATAGGAGCGGAAATTACTTCCAGCTGATCACGGGTAGTAATGATGATCGCGATAATGATGCGGATATTGATGACTATGACCATGTTGATGTTGATAATGATGATGATGCTAGTGATGGTGATGTTGATGAAGCAAATAATTTTAATAACAATAATAATTATAATAATGATACTAATTGTAATAATGAGTACAACCAGAAACTCATAAGGGGTGGTAAGCCAATTTCCTGCTCAGTATTTCGATAACCTTGAAAGCTCACTCGGCTTTTGGGAGTTTGATTGGTCAGTTATCTTTTCTTCTCGTTCCAAATATGGTATTCTCGAAAATGAATAATCATGAGTATCGGACAACGCAAACATATGAGAGTTACACGTGTCAACCCCTTGTAAGTTTCTCGTACAACACACTCATTGTTAATAAATATCCAATTTCCTCCACTTTATTTCCAAACTAAGTTGCACGTTTTTGAGTCTAGAAAGCGTGGTGCTCATCAAAGCAGATGCTGCTGTCCCGCTTCTAAATTGACCAGGTCGTCACAAACAAAGGGTACTTAAACTACTACGAAATAACTTATTCACCACTGTAATTTCATTTTGTCTTGTAGATCTCGCTCAGTAAGGGCGGACCCCGTAATGCAAGGGGAAAACGATTTTCCTTTCTTACCGTCTTACGATATGGCGATGAGCAGCCCACCAGTCAGCCAACAGTCTGTACAATCAGTCGCAGGAAATGCAAGTATAGATAACGGAGTCGTTGTGGACATGACAAGACTCAGTTTTGATCAAGTAACCCACAACCGTCACGATTCCATAGAGTCAATAGGTTCTAATGTGCATACATTGACAAGGAATGACAGCATCGACAACGGCGTGGTGATGGAGATAAGGACACTTAGTGTGAACACGAGCTAAGTAAAACGGTATCCGTTGACTCTAGTGGCTCTAATGACGACACAACAGAAAAATTACAAGACAGAGAAGACTTCCTTTTTTCAAGAACTGTTTTCAAGACGTCAGAGATCTTTAGACCTCTAACGGCAGCCTGATAAACCATTGGAGGCCCCAAATAATTACGTCTTCTCCAAACCACACTGTTCCACTTCTAGAAATTAAAATGTATATCCTTCCTCTTTTTTCCAAGTTTGGACATCAGTGGAACAGTCTGAAGCGAATATCCATCAAAACTGCTGGAATAAGCGCCTTAAGATTAATAACACTGTCAAGTTTGAGTCTGAAGCGAGCGAAGATATAGCTTAGCAAAGTCGCAAGATTTTACCCACGTTTATATGGTCAGGTGTATTCACTACTTTCACATAGACCATAATGCACCTTGTTTACCCCCCAAAATTTTGCCTAACCATTGTCTCCAATTTTTCCTGGTATAACGATTGTCCCAAGAGAAATCCAAGACAATGGTTATGCAAAATTGTGGGGAGTAAACAGAGTGCATTATGGTCTATGTGAAAATGGTGAATGGTCACAGGGGGCACTAACTCCACCCACGTTTCTGGGAAATCGCCTTCCTACCCCTCCCCTAAGCCAACATTAACACTTTCTTCTTGCTTAGGGCAAAATGTTGGCTTAGGGGAGGGGTAGGTGGGCAGTTTCTGAGAAACGTATAATGATCTTAAACGTCTATGAAGTTGCGCAACTTTGCGAAGATTTTACACTCAAAATTGGCAACAAAGCTGGTCAAAAGTTGAAAAAAGCGAGGAAGGGTCAATTGTAAGCAACAAAAACGCGTACATACTATAAATTTGTTTAAAAACGACCGAGTGATGATGCATATGCACGACACGAGTTTGAATGTCATGCAGTCGCCAGACGAAAGCAATGTCTTGACTTCTATTTTTTTCTGTTAGTTATAGTCCTGTTAGCATTATTGTTCTGTACTATGTTTTATGGACACAGGATTTTGTTAGAAACAAGATCCCTTAAGCAAACTAAATTGTTTCAGTTAAAAGTTTCAGGTAAACTAAAATTTGTAATATATCAAATGTTATTATAATTACTTCATGTATGTA